ATAATTTAAAATAGGCATAAAAACATGTTCAAAACAAACTTGCTTGGCCGCCACGCCACATTGAATTTTCCTTTTTGATAGATGGATTGAATTGCCTAATAGACCTATCTCCCATGATTAGAAAAAGGAAGCTTCATTGTAATAAATACAAGTTAGAAAACAATAAAAGATGACATGCGCGCGCAACTCGTAGGCTGCAGTGTAGCTAGATTGTATTGTTGCAGAGCAAATGTAGACAATACAAATCGAACATTGTAAGATTAAGAAGTAATATAGTCTCAAGTGTTTCACAACGCCTTAAATCAGACAAAAGAAGAGCTTTAAAGTGGATAAACATCGTTTGCACTTTTATTTTGATAAATGTTTCATCCGGCAACATCGCTCAATGAAATTGCAAAGGAATATGTCAAGTATAATCTAACATAACCCTAAACGAAACTGCGATGAGTTCAAGTAATATGAAAAGTATTAGTTTGCTCTTTGTCAAATTACACGTTACAAAGAAAGAAGGAACGATTCATTCTGAACTGGCCCCTGAATAAGAATATGACGCAAGCCTGTCACAAACTTGCTTTTCATTGGACGCTCACCTGCAGCCTACAAGCGACGCGCGCAGTGCAGGTAATAGGAGATCGGTCTATTGGGTCAAGCACTGTGTTGTTTATTCTGTATGTCATTGATTCTGTCACATTCTGAACAAACGTCAAGATTTGAATTATCGGATTTTGTGTTTTTTTTGTGTGTTTAGGTATTGTGTTAATTAAAATGCCAGCGTTTTGCATCGTAATTGGGTGTGGAAGTTGAGGTAACAGGGCTAATGTGAAATTTTATTCAGTTCCTGCTATTTTAAATCATCAGCTTTTGTACTACAAAAGTGAATTATCAGAACAACGCAGGGCTTTATGGATTGCTGCAATTAAAAGAAAGGATCTAACAGAGGCTCGATTTTCCCTTAATAATAATACCTTAAGATATTCACTCTCCATCTCAGAATTTATTATTAACTTGAAAAATACGTAGAAACACTATAAAATTCACTTTGTAAACAAGGGCCAGAACACTAAAAAATACGTAGATACTATCAAATTCACTATGACAACAACAATAGGACTAAAACCAATGGAAAATACGTAGAAACACATAAAATTCACTTCAAAACCAACAAGGGCCAGAACACAAATGCTCTCCTTATGAACGTCACCGGCTTGTCATCGCAATATTTGACCCGAACGGCCATTATAAAATCACGTGATTGAGATTGCCTAATTGAGATCACGTGACTTTAAAATGGTATTTGTTGGACTTTAGACGATCGTCTAAAATTAGGTTAGTGCGATAGCAGGGCGGGAAAGAGTTCGTTGCCATCAGATATCGGATTTTTAAGAGGATTTTTTTGTCTTTGTCTAATTCTTAATAAAAGACAAGGATACAACATAGCCCGAGGTAATCTCAAGGCTTCAACGACAATGAAGTATAACCACAACAGATGTTACTTATTTCGACTCGATTAATCCACATGAGCTAGACAAAGATAGATATGTCGAGTCACGTCGGGTCGGACACGAGATAAAATTGAACTAAAAGATGTGCTAAAAAATGCAATAAACTCCAGCACTCAGCAGAAGGTCTGTTTGTTATCCTCCACTAGTGCACAATAATTTACACTTTTCTGAGTTTTCTGCACTGAGGCGTTTGTTATACGGCTAGTGCAAATAGTGTAAGGCGTTTGTTATTTCAGTGTAGGGTGCCCAATCTTGCACTACCTACACCTGCTCAAGAGGAGGTGTAACAAGTGCAGAATGGGGAGGCGGCAATATTATTTAAAAACTACTTCAATGAAGGTGTTTTCAGGGTTGGAAGATGGGAAATCTCCATTTTCCTCTATAATTTCCGTCAATAAAACCTTGTAAATTGTGTTCTTTTCATTAATATTACACATTTTTTTCTCGGTTAGTTTCCACTTCAATCTAATTGAATAATCATTTTTTGAGGTTAGAGAATTATCCGCTCTTATCGCTACACGCTGCACGAACTGCACTAACGCGTTTGGTAGTTTTCCTTCAACCTGGTGCCCATCAGCTACACCCAGGGATGTGCGTCTACACGTGGACTTTCATTTTCTACTTTACGTGTAGACAATGTAGACAACGTGTCAACAATGTAAAATAATATAAATGACGTTTAATTCTAACATCACACTTTCCTTTTCAAAAATTATTTTTATTTTATTATCGGTTTTCCTCATATTTATAATCAGTGAATGCTGATATCAAAGTGATAGGTATAAGCTACTTAGGTAGTAGTAATTTTGGAATTTTTTTAAAATTTTCTAAAATAAGTTTATTGTTTACGTCACATGTAGACAATGTGTAGACCATCGAGCTTTAAACTGCTAGAGGGATAAACAAGCATATTTGTTTTGTTCCATAAAGAGGTAGCGGGGTCAGAGGGGTGATTCATCCGTTAAACAAAACGAAAAAAGGCCCTGTTGCCGATTTTTTTTTTGTTCGAATAATAATCTCGATAATAATGAATATCGTCATCTATCGAAAAGTATCTATTTCAAATTTGTCTGCTTATAATAATATTAAAAATATACTTCCGACTTTTTAATACTTATACTTTTAATACGTATACTTAAAATAATTCTAAAACAACAATACCTTTTATCACGACTCAATTTGGTTTTAAATGGAACTACGTACCTACTTCTAAAGAAAGATTTTACAGTCTGGCAATAACGTAGTAATTGTTTTGTGTTCTCATGGTGTTCTCAACTTTCTTGTGAGAAATCAGCTGACTGCGTTCGAGAACCTGGTGTGTCGTATAAAAATCACACAGCTACCGTTCGGAAAGGCGAAGTGTGGATTAAAATCATATGGTTTTCGGCGTTCGGAAGGGTGTTTGACACGTATTGATGTGCGCACCGAATACTCTAGAGTGAAATTTAAGCTCGCATTTTGAAGATGCACTCCCTGAAATAATTTCTACACCAACAACCAGGTTTTCGAACGCAGCTCTCTGATACCCAAAACATAAACAGACTGGTTTATAAACATTCTATTTTCATAAGTGGGGTTGTGTCACCAATATATATTTAGAGACAGTTACAATGGCATGTAATATTGACAGTTAAGTTGAAGAGGGCGCTTTTGTACTTGGAGCTATTTAAATTTTGGCGCGTAAATGATTGATTGTAATTTTAACCTCAAAAATTAATTTTGATCTGTGGTTTCAAGACAAGCTGACGCTGACACTTTTAAAAATATTCTCTAAGGCCCACTGAATGCTTTGGAAGATATTTTAACTTATTCATTGTCCATTGTTCATATTGTAGTCATCTTTCCTTCTACTTAATTTAAATGGTTTAAAACTATTGACATTTACCGCCAAAATTTGAAGCACTCCAAGTTCACTCGCGCACTCTACAAAATTTTGAGGAACTTAACTGGATATTTGCTGCCATATCACAAAAATGGTTGTTAAAAATAATTTTTAAAAAAGATAGGCTTACCCAACACATTTGCTTTTTAATGAATGTGGTTTGCTGGACCCAAGGCAACTCTTTTTCCAAAAGATATGCATTGGACTGTTTGAGGGTAAGATTCCTATAATAGATATTCAGCATCCCTATGACGCAAGAAATGGAAATCATAGCGTTTTTAGACCTAAAGTTTCAAAGACCATTGGATAGAGGTGTTTCAATTACGTAGCGCCTAAAATTTATGAAAACAATTTCGCCATTTATTCAAGCACCTTCTAAGCAAAATTTTGAAAATAAATTAAAGGCATATCTTTTGGCTGGTATAATTAGAGAAGAAGTACACAGCTTAATAGACCTAAAAAATAATTAAATCAGTGGTTTTTTTCTTTCCATGATAGTTCCTTTATACTTTGTACTCATAAATTTCCCTCTTCTTCTTCTTCTTCTTCTTTTTCCTCTCTTCTTTTTTTTGTAATTCTTGGTTTCCCTTTTAATTTTTAATTTTTAAATCTTAAATTTTTAATTTTTAATTTTTAATTTTGATCTAATTTGTATTTATTCTCTTTTTTTAATACTAATGTGTTGCTTATGTTAAATGCAGAAGGGAGCTTTAATAATATGCCTCTGCGCGCGAGTCAAACTCATGCAGGGCTTTATTTGATGAGCTTGTTGGTGATTCACTTTTTTTTTTGAGAATTTCAGATTTCAGATTTTATATGGTTTATTGTTTATTATTTCTCCATTTTCTCATAAATTATACAGTGAGTTCATAAAGTCCCGCATAAATTCATTATTTTGAAAACCGTAGAATTTTTGAAAAATCGCTCGGGCACGTCAATTTTGTTTTTTTGTTTGAAATTTTTCGATATATTTTTTATCATACAGGGTGTCTCAAAAATAGCTTTGCTGGTATCAACTTTAGTTTTTCAAATGGTATCTCCTGTATATTCTGATATTTCTGGATTTTGCTGAAAATTCTAAACATATTTTATGTATAATGATATATGCATCTTCAATTGTTTCCGAAATATTGACAGTTGAAAATTAACTTTTTGACATCTTTGACAGACTGTAAAACCTGAACAGTTGATTTTACAACATATTCGATGATACATTTTTGTCTTAGTTTTTCATAAACTATCATTTGACGCCAACTTTGAAATTAATTCATGATTAAAAATTCCGGTTAAATTTAATCTCCGATTTAATTCAAAGTTGGTGTCAAATGTATAAAGATTTACATTTACTAACCAGTTATTGTCCCCACAGACGAGAAACCTCTCTTGTGGGGTTGAATCCTGTATTTACCGTTAAGTGAAAAAAATTGAATGTATATTTTTTATTTAAAACAATAAATGCTATATAATAATAATAATAATAAATAAATAATAATTAAGTATTTAACTGTCCTCCTGAAATCCACGAAGACTCACTCAACTGCATGTTCAAGATTATAATAAAATCATAAAATGATTGTTTACTAAGCAGTTTTTTAAGTTTTTCCATTTCTTTTCAGGCAGTGAAGTTACCTTGGTCGCTGGCTCGGATACATCAGAAGATTCGATGGACAGCCTCGACAACCAAAAGATCTCAAAGATTCCGTCGTTTATCATTTCAGAACCGTCGGAAAACACTCCAAGCATAACACGAGGCATCGGTCGAAAAACCAGCCAAGAAAACGAAAATCGCGAAGATCCAACTCACGTTCCTCAACATTCCGACGAGTTTTTTCTGAGACGTAACTCGGATAAAAGCTCGTGCTATTCAGACGACTCGTTGTCCAATGACAGTCTCAGCATAGGCAACCAAAGCCCTAGCAGTAGTTCAAATACACAATCCAGTCATGCTTTTGATGGTGACATTAGGACGAGAGCTATCGATTCTATGCAACTGAAAAGAGAATTAAATAATGCTGGTAATTCCTTCATTAGATTTAAATTATGATTAGTTAATTGTTTAGTGTTGCCAGCTATCAACCCGAGACTAGCAACTAAAGATTTGAAAAAATAGTCCACTGAACTGAAAAACTACCAAACTGGCAACACTTATAATTGTTATTTGTGTTGTTTTATATGGTGTGATCATAATTTTGTTACTGATGTGGTTGAACTAACTCTGGAAAATCTCTGTTCTAGGTGGTCAGGCTGAAAACTTCCAAATATTCCAAAATCTCAAGTTGAACCTAAACGACTCCGTCAAATTTCCATCAGCGGATGGATTGCAGTCGAACTTGCACAAAAATTCTGGTTCGTTTGAGTTTGAATTGAGCGATGTCTGTTCAAAACTGCAATCTAACGACATCTTGGAAATAGTAAAAAAGACCATAAACGATCAAATACCTCCTAAACAACTTGTCAGTTCTAATGAGGTCAGTGATAGATTGAGCCTGGAATATGAGGGCGGTATACAAATAGAATTGAAGATAGTCGATAAGCATAGAGACTCCAAAGGGTTGAAAATGAGACGGATATCGGGGGATCATCTGGTTTATAATCAACTTTGTCAACAATTGATATCTTGCATGACTGTTTCCTAACATTTGAAGGATCCTTTTTAGGTTATGAGCATTTTTTTTCCCGTACTGTTACATACTTCAAGATGATCCTTTTTCACTTATCTTTAAGTATTCAATAGTGTTGCTTACAATACAGATTTCGTTTTAATTTCTAAGATGAAATAATAATAATAATAAATAATCTTGCTTTTTTTTAACCAAAAAAAAAGTGTCATCTTGAACTACTATGGGCCATTTTTTACAAGTTTGGTGTCTGCTTGTTTTAGCAGAAATAGAGGGTTCCAATTTTAAAATAAAGCTAGAAAAAGGCAGACCTTAAGATCTCTTTCCAACACATTGCATCTCATGGAAAAAGACCGGTTTCTATGACTCCTGTCTCTTTCCAATAGCTGCCAAAATAATAGCCTTCAGTCTTTGCCAGGGCAAATAGATACCTGCCGTAACATACAAAAATGAGCCACATTGTTCTGGGTTATTCAATTTGATTTTGATCTATTGAGATAGCTGAATCCATAACAGCCACAAAGAGTTTTTAATTGCAACTACATATTTAGTTTTATTAAAAAGTCAGTTGTAAAATACAGACTCTTGGAAAAATAATGTGTAATATGCACGAGAAGGTAGATCAATACCTTACTTTTCAAATAAAAATATATTTTTTTTATTTATCATTGGTATTGGACTAAATTACCCAACTTTACCTCATTTTGACCTCTTTATAACTCTGCCGAAGGCAAATAAATGAAATTTAATAACCCATTTGCTCTAGACTATACTATAGAGATGGGACTGTTCATATGGTCCTCTAGCCATCTTTCGAAAAACATCTCTGTTGTGATTCGCCCTTCAAAAGGGCTCCCATGTAAATAATTATTTTATATTGTGATAGAGGGTGAAGTTGACCAAAAAAAAACTTCATTTTTATGTAAATAAGTCTAGTAAATATCCTAACTGAATTTAAGTAAAGTAAATAAGATAAGTACAGGCAAGTGTGTTTTATTTTAGGTTTGGACTCAATTATTTTCAGTATCCTTCTCCACTAAATGCAGGTTTTTCAAAAGATATTCTACTTCATCCATTTGATAGTAGTTGTGAAATAAATGAATATGGATTGATACTCCTTAATTCACTTGTATCTGGATGTAGCGCGTGAAATAAACGTGGTTATTGTTAGAGACTTTTTTTTTAGGTTTTCAAGCACATCAATATGATACTACTAGTAGTGACTTTGTAGTACTACTTGCTTGCAGTAGGTCAAGGTTGTATCGTACAGTAGTACAGCATAGAGAAAATCTGTAGTACAACGCAGTAGTACGTACGATAGATTTGATAGTTCGTGTGCCAGCCCTACATGTTGCAGACAGATCATGAACATTTTTGGTTGGACTGTTGGACATATAAAACAATCTACAGTAAAAATGGATAATAATGAAAAGTTTTGGTCAGAATGTATAGAAATATATCGTTATCAAACGAAACGTGTTTTTTGGACGTATGAAAAGTAAGGTGCTGTGTATTTAGGTGACCTGAACTTGGCAATTAACAACACAATAATTGCAGACAAGTTTCTTTATTCAAAATCTACTTGAAAAATTTTTTTTTTTTTTTTTGACACCTTGTCTTGTCAAATGTTCATCAGTGACAATGGTGACAATACCACTCACTGACATTTGCCCAGCGTACATGCATAAACATAACACTTTTCCCCCTCTTAATCAAAAAAGTACAACAAAAAAAACTTACTAAACTAAAAAATTAATAATTCACAAGTCTAGTCTAGTTACAGGTTTCAGAACCCTAGTGGATCTCCTCCAATGACATCTCCTCAATGAATCGAACCCACAGTATCTGAGATGTCACTGCCGTCTCCCAATTATTCTCAGGCAATCTGTGTGGATTATATGTTACAGAACTTGACGCGGGCAGAGAATAGTATATTACATACCGAGGTGGAAAGTATTTCATTACTGAAACTTTTTACCGAGGTATGTATACTATTTTATCTACAATCATTCGAATTTTGAATTTTTATTTGGATTGAAACTAAAAAAATACAATAATTAACAATTTTATTTACTTTCGGCCCACGGGAGGAAAGTAAACTTTCGACCCGTGGGCCGAAAGTAAAAGTCAAAAAGTGACATTTTCAACCTTTTTAAAAGTCAGTAAAGTCAACATTACATGTATGATTGTAAATAAACTCTTTTCTGTGTTTCTTCAATGAATTCTGGGGAACCTGCTACCACTTCAGAACCTGATAAGGGCTGTGGGTGAGAAATGTCGGAGGAAAATCAGCAGGCGCAGATGTCTGATCAGATACTGCTAACTGCTGGCTCTAAGTTAACAAAAGATGGACAACCATGTACTGAATTTTTAGTGCCTTTCCGAATTTAATCACTATGAAACATTCTTATAATGTCATTAACTTTAATTAAATAAGTCACAGCACTCAACACCTTTACAACAATAATAAACCCAGAACTTATCTGCCTTCCTAAATTTTACCAACTCTCTCTCCGGTCACAAACAATTGACTTACAATACCTGGTTCAGATTTTTTGTTTGATAACCGAGTGACCAATATCTGGTTTCAATAAATCCAGACGCGTACGAGGTTTTATCTTAAACATTATTTCAAAAGGTGCAACCCAGTCGACGTAAAAGACGTATTTCTATAGGCTAACGGAAATTGACTTAATCTAGCTGACATAGACAAAAGAATATCTAGCTTTGTTCTCATCATATAACTGTCCCAACAATTTTTTTTTCAATCTCGCCTTTTTTTGCTGTTCCATTTGATGAAGGATGAATAGGAGTAGTTAAAATTGGTTCGATGCCATTGGCCTGACAGAATTTGATGAATTCAGCTGAACCATATGGAAGGTCATTATCACTGACTAACTGAAGCGAAAAGTAGAAAAAGTCATCTTTAGTCTATCAATGGTAGCCATAGCTGTAGTTGAAGACATTAGATGTATATCTACCCACTTTGAATAACTAGCAAAAATTATCAAAAATGTATAATGAATCCTTTCCAAAAAAATCAATGTGTACTCTAAACCAGACTTTCGGTGGCCTCGGCCAAGACAACAAGTTTCTATCAGGTAGATTATTTTGAGGCAACTGGCACATATCGCAACTACAAATAAAATTTTCAATTTCTCCAGAAAGATTTGGCCAACAAAATACAAACCGAGCAAGCATTTTGGACCTGACTACCCCAATATGACTTTCATAGAGGTCACTCAATATATTGAGTCCTAAAGAATTTAGAATAATGACACGGGCTTCCCCATAAAATACAACCCTTCTCCACTGATAGCTCCTTTTTGAAAAATAAGGTCTCAACTCGGAATCAGAAACAGACTACGCGGCCACCCTCTTATAGACAAATCTTTAACCTTGGATAAAATTCTATCCCTGTTGGTGTGGAAAGTAATATCATAAGAAGAAATGGGTACACTCTGATAATTTGAATAAATTAATATAAAGTACCTGTGTCGGAGACTTCAAGGGCAATCTTGAGAGCCCATCCGCATGGCTAATCTGTGAACCCTTCTTATAGAGGGTGAGTAACTGAGCACGCAGGGGTCCATATCTCCTATACTAACGGAGATCGAAGAAAAAACTAAATACAAAACTTGTAGATAAATATGAGTACTACATTCCTAAATTATCTTCCAGCATACAGGGTGGCCCAATAACTGGTAGTGACACAAAGTTAGGTTTTTTTAAATGACTCTCCCTTTATATTATGACATTTCTTGATTCTGCGGAAAATTCTAGACATATTTCATGTACAATGTCTTATACCAATCTTGAACTGTTTCGGAAATATTGACAGTTGAAAATTGACTTTTTTGCATCTTTGACAGACTGTAAAACCTGAACGGTTAATTTTACAAGAAAACGGATTTTACATTCCTGTCTTAGTTTTTCATAAACTATCATTTGACACCGACCTTGAATTTAATCCATGATTAAAAATTCCGCCTAAATTATTAATCCTTGGTTAAATTCAAAGTTGGTGTCAAGTGATAGCTTATCAAAATCTAAGATAGGAATGTGAAATTCGTTTTCCTCTAAAATTGACCGTTTAGGTTTTACAGTTTGTCAAAGATGCGAAAAAGTCAATTTTCAACTGTCAATATTTCCGAAACGGTTGAAGATAGGACCAGGTACCTATATGACATTGTACATGAAATATGTCTAGAATCTTCCGCAGAATCCAGAAATGTCATAATATACAGGGAGAGTCGTTTAAAAAAAACATAACTTTGTGTCACTTCTAGTTATTGGGCCACCCTGTATACTGGAAAATAATTTAGGAATGTAGTACTTATATTTACCTACAAGTTTTGTATTTAGTTTTTTCTTCGATCTCCGTTAGTATAGGAGATATGGACGACCGCGTGCTTAGTAACTCACCCTGTATACTATTCTATAATTGTATGCTGATAAAAATACCGCCCATCTTGTTATTCTAAATGTTGCAATTGTTGGTAATAACTTTGATGAATTGAAAATAATTTGTTGAGGCTGATTCCAAAATGAATTATCGACCATACAAAACCTTGTGAAACCGCTTAGCTCCAAACACTATTGCTAATTAAAAATGAAGGGAAAATTTAGGAAAATTGGAGGTATAAAAATTTTGGTCTCGGGCGGGATTCGAACCCGCGTCCTCAGCATTGCTGATGCTACGCTCTAACCAAGACCAAAATTTTTAATCCTCCAATTTTTCTTAACTTTCCCTTCATTTTAACCGATAAAACTTTCATTCCTTTCAACATTGCTTATGCGGGCATCGCATACACCTAGTTTTAACACACATGGACGAAACCTACATATTGTCACGGCTTTGGATCGCCTGACAGAAATCTTGGGTTCGTTGTTCGTTTCGTTTATTCCAAAAATCAAAGTCCAATCAACACAGCAATAATTTATTCCACTTAACAATACACTCTGACACTAATTACTTTAATAAAAAACTCAACAATTAAACTCTTACAACTCGCAATAATGAGATGGCTCCATTTGTGCTACTGTGCATTTGTGCTAATCCGCAAGGGATCACCCCATTTGTGCTAATGTTCATTTGCTCTACCCACCCGAAGTCGCCTTCGCGCCTTCGGGCGGGAACGTCGGACGAGCCGAAGTCCGACCGGAGTATGACCCTCATCGAAACGAATGCAGTTGTTGTAGCGCAAATGGGTACAGCGTTGCCGTTCCCTCTCCATCTGGCGGGTATTTAAAATAGAAAATAGAATTCTATTTCGATATTTTTCAAGTATTGAGTGGGTGTGGTGTTTTGTTTACTTTAAAAATGGAAAATTTTAACTTTTAATATTTTATTGGTTAAATATTAATTTATTTTAACCTTCCATCGCGAGTTTTATAACATCATTAGTCACGCTGTATCACAGAGATACATATACTAAATCATTGATAAAAAAATTGAACCATCTGATGAATTTCGGTTTTACAATTTCTATGTATTGATTCGGGTACTCAACAATCAAAGATAGAACATTTTCACTGAGAAAGAGATTCCAGAAGTTGAATTCTATTTTCGCTATCTTAATGTTTCGAGCGCGCTCGGACTGCTCGGAGTTTACCGAGTGTAAAGCCACTGTGTGCAGAAGCTAGTTTCTGGATAGGAATTAGCAAATAAGCTATCCAAGTGCTCCTAAATAGTCGAAGAAGAACAGTCATTCAGATTTTTTTCATTACCAGGAATCACCTTTTCTACATTTAAAATCGATGAAGAAACAAGCACAACCTGAATCGCAAGCATCCCATCGAGGCTTGCGGGTGACGTCACCACTATAAGAGGCTATGCTGCTAATAGTACTAACGTCACTCGCAGGCCTTGCCGACTCGAGAATTGGCGAACGTACGCCTTATAAGGAAAAGCAATCCTATAGTTTATGATTCTTGCTATGCAAGTGTTTCCAAATAGTCAAAAAAAATTTGATCAGTTAATCATTAAACTAAATAGAGATTTTTTCT